ACTGTAGTCCCGGAATAAGTTCACGGTACTTTGAAGTCCAATGGTTGCCGTTTTTCTTCAGATTGATAATTCTCTGTTTCCTCGCTTGGCTTCAGATTTTGGCTCATTTTCAATCGACACAAAATGGTGCTTCTACTCCGGTATGTGTACATTCTACTAAGATGCATTTGGCTCGACGTTCGGCTTTTCTGTGTTTTAGAGGCCAGAAGCGAAGTCAAAGAGACGCAGTACCAACAAACCGTCCGTCGACGCAAAGCAACAGCGACTGACAGCATTTTTCCGTTGATTTCGTTCCTTGAAGTAGTGGAGAGTGGACCGTGCAAATCGTCTCAGGGTTACTGTTTTCACTACCGTACTGTGAAGAGATCCTATTTTTCTAAGATTGATCACAAACTTTTCCTTTAATGGAATAAGTAACAAATTTTCTTTAATCCCGACGACTTTATTTTGCAATGTTTTCTAGGTGTCCGGACTGCTATAGTATGAGGGAGGTTATTTGAATATTATGCTATTTCGTCTCCTAGCGATAATACAGAGCAACACAAATCTCCCTTTTGAGTGAGAACACTCATTGTACATCACCGAAACACGAGCAGATGATGGCTCCAACGTTTTGAAACTCCGTTGGCAATGTGGGTTCACTCTTGGATTCTTGTCCACTAATCACAGAATGGCTATCCTGAGTCGAAGACAATAGACACTAAGCGCGATTCAAAACCTACCCCATTCTGTGGCTTTTCACAGAACACACTAAAACACTACGGGCGTTTATCAGCAAGGCGACGCGATCCCACCAGGTGACGTGCACACGTTGAACATAACTGCAGACTGATTCAAAATTAGGCAAATCCGTCAATCAGGTGATTTCAGTGTTTATGAAATGATTTCCCGTATTTTAGGTGATGGCAACTAATCGTAATATGAGATTCTTGAGCATAACTTTAACGCGAGTCCGGACTCGACTTCGTTTATTCATGTACTGCGAGTGAAGAATAATTATGCAGTTCTCCGACGACCCATGGAGGTGCAATTTCTTCACTTGGAAATATTCAACTAAGGCAGAAGCAGAAAGCAGTATAACAGATAGGTAGGGTTAATAACCGGTTTTTCATTGGAAATTTCCGTGATTTGAGGTTTGTCAAAGAGCAAAGCCTAAGATAAATCCCAATCGTGTCTGGGCGGTGATGGCTAAGGTAACCATAGGTCACCATATTGTGACCCGAGATCGGAGGTTCGAACTGCTCCACGGCCGCCCATCTCTGTTTCTGTATTTTCCCAGGAAACCTTTGCATGGCCCCCACCCACTTCCTTAATTTGACTGTACATTTGTACATTCAGTAAATAAAAAAGGAAGTAGAAAGCCATTTACTTTTGTTTTTAATAAGTATATATCATCTGCATACATCGGACAATTTAAAGAGAACACTAAGCCTTGAATAACATGAGCGCACTACTGCAAAAAATTGATTATTGCTACCCTTCCACATGAACGAAAGCAGTTACGAATCGATTTATGTGAGGAATATGGCATTCAAATTCCCTATTTGGGAGGGTAGAATTCCGTTTTCAGCAGTACTCAATTTGGGGCTCTCTGAGTGCAAACGGCCCTCACTTTTTATCCCTACAGTTCTTCAAAGAGGTTTCTCACACATTATTTTCATAATGTTGTCCACTATGAGCCAACTATTATGTCCTTAGGATCATCACCATCGTCCTGACCGTACAGTGAGATATAGAGAAATGAACTTCACTAGTCGCTACCAGGCTTTGGATGTAAATCGAGTAGGAGAGAAAGTAAAAGATAGATAGGGTTTAGGCCTCGCTGATGGGAGGCAAAGAAAGTGAGACTTTGTGGTAGACGCACAGAGTGCACAACCCAACTGTGCACGAATAACTTGAAACCCGTTTGACCTACCAAGAAATGACAATAAGAAAGCCACTGCTGTCGGTTAGTTGCTATATCCTTCAGTGTGTCCAACCAACCAGTTACAGAATCTTTCGGACGGGAGACAACTACGCTGCCTAATCATTATGCGCGTGGTTTAACGTCATCTGTTGACTTCCACGTGGCTTCTTTTAACCTCCATCACGACGAGGCTGCACCTTGACGTGGTGTGATGGCTTACGTGTCTCCATGACCCTGTTAGCTACACGGGATGGCTTTTCACAGCCGTAGTTCCAATCATGCCTGGAAGGTTAACGGGTAGAGGCCAGACGAAGCTCAGTCTCACAAAGCCACCTACTTGGGCACCTCCTGGCCTCCTTCATCTATCCGCTAGATGGACGCAGGAGAGGGGCATCTGGGGCTTCCTCTCGACGGTGGGAGGTCTTCGCACTTCACTCGATAGCTACCGCCCACCGAAGCTGGACAGCCCTCAACCAATTAGGTGCTGTCCCGTCCACGTTCCATTTGTCTCCTTGGAAGCATGAGGCTGAGGGCCGATCCCGAAAAGCGGGCCGGTAATCAACGCACCAGCGAACAACACAATTAATCGAAATTCAAAGGCCTCGCGTGACAGGTCTCTGGAAGATGCCACACGGGTGCTTCGTTCACGCTCCTGTGTTGGATTTACTCCCCACTGCCTTGTGGATTAGACTTTGAGTCGAAGGCTCCGGTTAGGGTTCCCAAA